CCCACCCTCGTGGGATAAATTGCCTTCCACGAAACCGGTCCCTGTGGCCAAAAGGTTGGGCATCACCGAGAGAGGGATATTTTGATTCTGGCGGTGGATCCCAGCTGGGAGGGAGGACTGCTGACTTGGCCCCCTCCTCCTCCCCATCAGAACCACTGCTGCAGGCCTGAGGGCGGAGCCAGCGAGAATGACCTTGTCAACTCAATTTTCTAGGCATGAGTTTGAAAGAATCTGCAGAGAGGAGGTGAAACCACCAGGAATGTCGCTAATGAGAGATGTGAACATGGCGAAGTCAGAATATACTGTGAGTGAGAAAGTGATTTCCAAGATCCAGAATTTTCAGGAAGACGAGGAGCTCTTTAGATACTGCACTCTCCCCCAGGTAAGAGCTCTGCCTGCATTTGTCTCTGCTTGACAGTCAGTGGCGTGTCTGCCCCGCAAACCTGCTTTGTAGTTGATCTCCGCCCTTTCCACATATGGCGCGTGCGCAGTGGTTCTCAGCTGGAGGTGACTGTCCCGGGTCTGGAGACCTTTGTGTTGTCCCCAGTGTGAGACAGGGTGTGGTGCTGGCTTCTAATGGGGAGGGGCCAAAGATGCCGCCGGTGGGCCCCAAACGCACAGGAGAGCGCCTCCCCCAGACTAAGAATTGTCCCACCCGGTAGAACCAGGACTGGGAAAGCCAGAGTGCGCCAGTTGCCTCTTGTTGAGAAAGAGGAATTCTGGGTAAAGAGAGAGCCCTGTGACCTCACTACGGGAGAACCCATGGTGTGAAGTGGTGGGCTATTACTTGTGAATTCATTCTTTTTTCTTTTTTTTATGGCTCTGGACGATAGAAGTATGAGTTTGTTTTTAAATTTAAATTGAATTTTTTTAAAACAATTATTCTTTACAAGTAATGCGTATTTACGCAAACGTGGAGGCAGTCCAGAAGGGCCTGACGTGAGCAGGTCTCCTGCCCCAGCCCCACCCCCGTGAAGCCTTTCGTGCGTTCATGTGCGAATGTGTCTGTGAAAGGCCGTCTGTAACCCTTCTGTGAGTGTCACATCGCACCACATTAGCCGTTGCGTTATTTTTTTCACTCACAGGGGAATCTCAGCGCAATGGGTGGTCTGGATTAAAGCACACTTCTGAGTGCCTATGAGTGGGTCGCGGGGGCGTGACTGGGAACTAAATCTGTCTCTGGCTCCTTCCTCTGCGCTCTGCTTCCTGGCTGCTGTGAGGGGAGCAGCTGTCGGCTGCTGTGCCCTTCCACCATGATGTTTCCGCCCTGGACCAGCTCACCATGAACTGAAACTCGGAAACCATGAGCCAAAGTAAACCCTTCCTCCTTTAAGTTGGGTGTCTCTGATATTTTGTTCCAGCAACAAACTGACTAATCCATTAGTTTTATGGAGATACTTTATACCTCTTCTTTTTATTATTACTTTCTCTTTTCTGAGACAGGGTCTTGCTGTTCAGGCTGGCCTAGACCTAGTATCCTCCTGCCTCTGCTTGCTGAGTGCTTGGATTACAGGCATGTGCTACCATGGCTGGCCGCCGTCCTGGTTCCTTTGTGGGTAGCTATACTTCATGCCACTTGGCTCTCCTGATTTCCCATGAAGTTAATTTTCTCTTCCTTTTCTTTTAGATTCTGAAATATGTGGAGTGCTTTACTGGACCTAATATTATGGCCATACACACAATGCTGATAAACAAACCTCCAGATACTGGTAAAGGACATTTATTTATTTATTTATTTGTATGGGGGATCGAACTCAGGACCTTGTGCTTGTGAGGCAGGCACCGGCACCACTGAACCAGATCCCCGGCCCAAGAACTTTTTATTCTTTAGGAAGAAGTAAGAGAAAAACGTTGTTTAGTTAAAATGTGTAAAGTTGATGTCGTAAGCTTGGTCACGTATATAACTGTCAAACTTTAAATGAGTGAATGTATATACTTTTATTTAAATCTGAAAATCGTCTTAACAGCATGGAAGTGTAATAGTGATTTCACATGTTGACTGTAGATTTATTGCAAAATTTTCAGGTGACTGACCAAAAATGCAGTTTAACAGACATAATTTTTCATATATCATTCACATCTATTCAGTACATCTATCTGTGCCTTAATTGAGCATTCCTAGCCATGATAGCATGGATTCTGAATTCCTGATCCAACACAAAGCTACTGCTATAAATCACACACTCAAGAAAGTGTCTTGTGCTTGTGAAAATGTAGATTCTAAAACCTCACTTGCAGAGAGACTGATTCAAAAATAAGTAGAATTCAGGTGACTGCATTTTAATAATTTTCCCTGGAGATTCCACAGAGGTGACTCTTGAACCCTACAAAACTCTTTCTGAACCAGCAGCAGAAATCAGCCGAGAGAGTCCTTTCTCCTTTCCACTTCATCTTCCTTCAGGTAGCCGGGACAGACTCATGCGATAGGACTGAAGGTCAGAGTCACCAGGCGTCTTCCTGTGTGTCTTGCCTGGAGAGATCTGGTGATTGGTGACCAGGTTCCAAGAGCAAAGCTGAGGGAACAGCCATGTGGTCGTTGCCTTGGGCTGGACACAGATTGGACCCAGGAAGCCCATCGTTCTGTGGGGAAAGTCTCTCAGAGAACTGTTTTCCGCATCAGCCACTTAGAAAGGAACCTCAAATGTGGTTCTGGACCATTCTCTTCCATTTAATTAATCCAATTTTTAAAAATGCTATGCTACCTCTTTGCTGAATCCAGCGTGACAAGGAAATGAAGTACACTAGAGATGCTGATGTCTGTATGAGGTGTTAGCAGTGTCAGAGCCCAGCTCCCAGTAACCCAGAAGGAAGAATAGGAGTGGGGGCCTCTCTGTTGATTTGCTATTTCAGTTTAGTGCTGAAATATACCAAGACTGCTGTCCTATAGCTTTGCTCCATTTGTTTGATTTTGCTGAAATAGATCGCAGTGTTCTAGTTTTTCATGAAAAGCATAAGACTTCTGAGACTTGAGCTTATTTATTTACTTATTTATTTAGAAACAGGGTCTCACTATGGAGTTCAGGCTGGCCTGAAACTTACTATGTAGCCCAGGCTGGCCTGAAACTGGTGGGGATCCTCCTGCCTCAGTCTCTCAAGTGCTGGGATTACAGGCGTGTGCCACCATGCCCGGCTGGAGCATCTTTTAACAACCGGTTCTGTTTCAGGCAAGAAGACCTCACGTCACCCCTTGCACCAGGATCTGCACTATTTCCCCATCCGGCCCAGCAATTGCATCGTTGCTGCTTGGACCGCAATGGAGCACATTGACCGGAACAACGGTGGTCTGGTGGTACTTCCGGGTACTCACAAGAGCTCCCTGAAGCCACACGATTATCCCCAGTGGGAGGTAGATCTGCCTGGCCACTGCATCTTGATCAGAATCTGTCACTGTCTTATCCGTAAAGAGATGACATGTTTCCTTTCTTAGCAAAGCATTGTCCTGAGGTTTACAATTCGGATCAGGGAAAGCTCGAGGTAAAATATTCATCCATGTGTGTTTTCCACACAGAAAGGCAGCTAATGTGGGGGAACTTGGGTAGGAGCAGCATAGGACCTAATTGCAGGGGTCAGACACAAACACTTCATCCCAAGCCTTTCTGGCAGATGGTTCTCAGGGCCAAGAAAGTGAAACCCAGCAGAGGCTACTGCTTTAGCTGCACCTTGAGGGACAGGGCTTTCCTATGGCAGGGAGGTCAAGGACAAGCACAGCATGGCTGAGGCAGGGGAAGGACCCAGGGGCCCCCAGTCCAGATGGATGGATGCATTTTAGGGAGCAGCAGAGGAGAGTCTAAAAAGACACGTTAGGACTATTTAACACTAATGAGTCTCCAGTTTATTTGGGGAGAACGGGAGCCTCCCCTTACGCCTGCAGTGGTACTGGAGATCAAACCTAGGAACTCCGCATTCAGCTACATCACCGGGCTTTTTAGAACTCATTTTTATTGGTACCTGTTTGCAGCACATAGTGATTGCCTTCATTGCAGGGAGTTGGTACATGTACGAAACACATCTTAATTCTTTTTACTTCCCTTTCTTCTCCCTTCCTTCCCCCTGCCCTCCATAATAATTGCTATTCTTGTTACTGTTATTATGAATTTTAAGACTTGATCTAAGTCATTCACTAAGTTGTCCTTGCTGGGCTCAAACTTGAAATCCTCCTGCCAAAGCCTCCCACAGTACCAGGATTACAGGCATGTGCTGCGAAGCCCGGTTGAGGACCTTCTTTATTTTAGAAACCTGGAAGAGCTGTTATTTTTGTTTTCAAGTTCATTGGTGTATACTGCATATAATAACTGTATATTTTGAGTGTATAGATTGATCACTTTTGACACATGCATAGTCACACACTTCACAATCAAGAGAATACCTCCCTCCTGCCCCAGGCTACCTCTGAGTTGCGTTCTGTTACTGTAGATTAGTTGAAGGGTTGTATAAATATGATCTTGTGATCACTTTTGAGGGTGTGGCTTCTTTTGCATAGCATAGTTCAGCAATCTTAATAGCTCCTTCCTTTCCATTGCTGAGTAGGATTCAGTCGCTAGGCTCTACCATGGTTTGTTCATCCATTCAGCTGTTGATGCTGGG